TTATTAAAATTATCAATATAAGGTAGTGAAACAATATGTTGTTTCCTATTCCAAAAAGCATTAGGAACATCACTGTATACAGTGAGTTTAAATTTATTTTCAATCTGACTTAAGTCTTTCTGTTTCTTTATTTGTTCTTTAACTTGAACAAATACTACTTCTTCTTTAAGAAAATTTATTTGATTTTCTTTTAAGATTATATTCTTAACCTCATTTAACATCCTTGTTTGAGGATTTAAGAAAATTTATTTGATTTTCTTTTAAGATTATATTCTTAACCTCATTTAACATCCTTGTTTGAGGATCAGTTATAAATTCAAATATAATTTTTTAAGATTATATTCTTAACCTCATTTAACATCCTTGTTTGAGGATCAGTTATAAATTCAAATATAATTTCCTTATTTTCATAATTTTCTTTAATACCTTTTATGTCAATTTGACTTATGGGCATAATATTATGAAGAAATGGTGTCCCAAGTATTACATGTTGGGATAAATTTTTAACTAAAATACATGGAGTAGGTATACAAGAACCTTGTACACATATGTGTGCTTGTGGTAATTTATATTTTACCTCTAATTGATTGTCATTGGCACTGCTCAACGTTTGAGTAGTTTTTTCAAAGAATTTAGAAGGTATAATTTCTTCATTTATGCAGTTTAAATCTGCACCACTATCAACCAGAGCTAGTAGATCTGGTATAAACATTTGCTCAACAATTATTAAAGTAATTTTAATATACCACTTTTGTGAGGTAATTTGTTGTAAAATTTGTAGAAAGTCATTACTTTCATTATCACTATGTTGAACTATAGTATTATTGTCTTCTGTATCTTTTTCATCTAGTCGAGAGAGAATATTTTTATTCTCTTGTTTTAAATTTTTAACTTCTTTCTTCAAATCTTGTATCTCTTTATTGAGATTTGATAAAGATAACTCTTTAGAAGAATATGCAATATTTAGTCTTCTTTTTATAACTTCAAATAATCTATAAACATTATCAATGTTTGGTTTGTCTTTGATTTCTTTATTATTTAATAAGGATTTTAGAATTTCTTCTTTTAAGTCCGAAGATATGTCTTCATTTATTAATTTTGTTAGTAACTCTTGATTAGATTTAATCATATTTGTAGATAATCCATTCATTTGGACTATTGATTTCTAATATTCAGCATCTTAGTTACAGTTATTAACTATACATGCGCATTGTTCTTCCTCAGATTCTGAGGTTGTTGAAGATGATTCTTCAAATTCAGTATCGCTATTAATCATAATTTTGTACAACATTCTTTTTAATCTCTCATCTTCAATTTCTTCTATTTTCTTTTTTGTATAACAACGATTTGCATAGTGGCCAATTTTGCCACATTTATAACAATGAATTTTATTCTTTTCTTTTTTTAATTTTATTTTTAGTCTTTTCTGGCTTTTCACTTTCTTTTTCTTGAAAGAATTTCTTTTTCTTTTTCTTTATAAATTTTTTATTTTTTCCTTTATTAGGAATAATTTTCTTCTCAACCTTATATGGTTGATCATATGCAAATTGTTCACAGAATTCTTCTAATTCTTTTCTTTTAGTAAGTCTTTGAGACTTTAATTGATTTTTTAGTTTTGAATCATTACAAAGAGCTAAACCCACTTTTATACATGCATTTGATAAATATCCATAAGATAAATTATCATAAGGGATATAACCCCTATATTCTGTTCGAATTTTGTTTCAAACTCTTTTAGCAAATAAAATTGGTAAGCCATCAATAAATTTAGCTTTCCAATGTGCGCTATTAGCGTGAGCTAGAGACATTACTCTACTTAAATATGTATCTTTATACCATCTAAAGTGAGTTAATGATGGACATCTAAAATTTTGTAATAAGGTCCTTAATTCTTTCACCCTCATCGAGATATGCTCCGGTGAAGTGATGTGCTTTTGCTAGCATTAGAGTGTATACAGCATCTTCTTGTTGTATACCATTTTAATTTATGTTGCATTTAATACTTCATGTCTGGCTTCAGGGAATAGATAATTATCCCACCATCCTTTAAGGGTGCCAGTAAAACCACATGTAATATACGAGGCTATCATTTTATCAGAATTATTATTCTGTTTACATATTGTACTGTACATCATCATTCTATGCATTGTAGCATAAATTTGGGTATCTGATAACCCATCAATATTCCATTCGTAGATATTTCTACCATTATAATCCATTTGAATAAATGTATCACTTTCTTCAAATAAAACATCGGCTGGAGTAGGTCTTTTATAATAGTACCTTTATCATCTTTTTTAAATCCTGATATATCTATCGGTGGTTTTATATTTGTATGTTCCATTTTAGAAACCGGTGATTTATTTTTTTCTAACAATTTTAATGATGGTATTACATCATTCATTTATTTATTAATTTGTCTATAGCATTTTCAATTCTGATTAATTGATCTCCTATTGTTTGAAGATGTATATTTGTATAATTGTTTTGTTTAATTATTTTACTCAATTCTTTCATATGTTCTTCGTTAATTTCGTTAGGCTTTATAAAAGTCATTGCTTCTATTGTAGAAGGATGAACATCTTTTAGATAAATAGGATCTGTTAGAGGATTAACAGGTCTTTTAATTATTCTACATGTGGTAGTTTTCCACTGTTTATAGTGTTCTTCTATTACTCTTATTTGGTTTTCTTGATTTTTAATATACTTTTTCAGAAACCAAGGAATAAAAACTCAATTTTTTGTTTTAATTTTAACTGTGAATAGTATTCATTTTTCCAGTTTAATTATTCTTATTTATTAAATGTCTTAAAAAATTATTTTCTAAAATTTTTATGTTGTTCTAAATAAAATTCTTGATTCAGAATTTTCCTTTCAAAACTTTTTCCTTCAAAATTCATTTCATTCTAAAACTGACTTCTTAATTAGGAGACATTTTATCCTTATATAAAGGATGAGGAATATTATTTCCAGAAAGGTTTAATCCTTTTATTTCATTAGTTCTATAAGAACTAGATCTGGAGATTGAATTTCTAGCCGAATTGGCCACATCAGATATTCTGATGGTTCGTGAAGGATTGAAAGTTATTTCTACATCTCCATCTATAGTTTGAACTATTTGATCTACATCTTGATTAATAATTGGCAGTGATTGAACTGCATTGGGTATGATCCAATTATCTGGGAAATTTATTTCATCCCATTTTATCTGTCTATTAACAGCAATATTTGAGGATAGGACATTGGTTTCTACCAAAAGAATCTTACCTGGTTTAGAATGTATTTTAGCTTTATAAGCTAAAATATTAAGAATTTTATAATGAATCCAATATATTATCGCAATTGTTTCAAATCTTGATATGAAGTTATACCCATGTGTTTTAATGTTGAGACTTATTGCCTCTAGAATGTTCGGGTCAGTCAATGATAGACTAAGATTAGGATAAACATTAAAATAAACAGGTCCATTACATAGGCTGGTTTCCATTATACTCATCAATGATTGGGTCCAATTTAGACATCTAGCATCTCTTAAACAGACTAATAAGGAAGCATTTAAGCCTTGCAAAGTTAAAGGTCTAAAAGCTATTTGGATTAGACCAACATGTATATATTTATACTTGTCCATATATGGTTCAATGTCAACTGGTCCAAGTAACTGGATAGTCTGTTCATCCCTATCGACTGTTGTAGTCCGTTCTAGAGTCTTAATATTAATTAAAGACTTATAATCTAAAAAGCCAATTTTATAAATATCCCTATTAGGAACATCAGGGATTGTCCATTTATTAAGAGATTCAATATCAGAAACATATTCTGTCAATTGTGCGTTTTTAACTTTTCTGCCAGTATAACTGGACTTTTGGTATCAGAGCCATGCATAACTATTATATGCCTGTGTAAATTTATTCTAACAGTTTATCTTTATGATTATTTGCTAATAAGAACGTAGAATTCATATATGTTCTTTTCATTCTCTGCTTAAGAACTTAGTTTACAGGCTTAAGGGACGTCACCCAAGTCATGCAGTGTAAAGCCCTATTGTTGCCAGGATGGCTTGTTAGGGTAGTGTAAATCGTTGACAGACGTGTGAGCTTTTTGGCTAGGTTGTTTAGTAGAGAATAAAAAGAAAAATATGAACTCTGCATCCTTAGTGGTTAATATGTCATAAGATAAACTAGTAAGAACAAAAGTCCAGTT